GCCATTGGTCGGGGTCAACATACCCATTGGTCGGGGCCAACATACCCATTGGTCGGGGTCAACATACCCCATTGGTCGGGGTCAACATACCCCATTGGTCGGGGTCAACATACCCCATTGGTCGGAGGTCAACATACCCCATTGGTCGGGGTCAACATACCCCATTGGTCGGGGTCAACATACCCCATTGGTCGGAGGTCAACATACTCCATTGGTCGGGGGTCAACATACCCCATTGGTCGGGGTCAACATACCCCATTGGTCGGAAGTCAACATACCCCATTGGTCGGGGGTCAACATACTCCATTCGTCGGGGGTCAACATACCCCATTCGTCGGGGGTCAACATACCCCATTGGTCGGGGGTCAACATACCCCATTGATCGGGGTCAACATACCCCATTGGTCGGGGCCAACATGCCCCATTGGTTGGAGCCGGGCATGGCAGAGGGGACCAGGAGCCGGGCATGACAGAGGGGACCAGGAGCCGGACATGACAGAGGGGAGGCAGGAGCCGGACATGACAGAGGGGAGCAGGAGCCGGACATGACAGAGGGGACCAGGAGCCAGGCATGACAGGGGAGGCAGGAGCCGGACATGACAGAGGGGAGCAGGAGCCGGACATGACAGAGGGGAGCAGGAGCCGGACATGACAGAGGGGAGCAGGAGCCGGACATGACAGAGGGGAGCAGGAGCCGGACATGACAGAGGGGAGCAGGAGCCGGACATGATAGAGGGGAGGCAGGAGTCGGACATGACAGAGGGGAGCAGGAGCCGGACATGACAGAGGGGAGCAGGAGCCAGGCATGACAGAGGGGAGGCAGGAGCCGGACATGACAGAGGGAAGCAGGAGCCGGACATGACAGAGGGGACCAGGAGCCGGACATGACAGAGGGGACCAGGAGCCAGCATAATGAGCTACGAGGGGACCCAGCACAAGCTGAGAGTCCTCCAGGTATCGAGGGCGACATCTGACCTCCAGTGAGTGAGGGGAAACCCAGTGATCCCTCTTTTGAATTCCCCTCAGGTTTAATTAATATCGTGGCCCCTTTTCCACCAACTTTTCCGACACTCCGCTTTTCTCTTACAGTCTTCCATCTCTCCTTTCCCCTCGTACTGTAGTCTTCCACCACTCCTTTCCCCTCGTACTGTAGTCTTCCACCACTCCTCTCCCCTCGTACTGTAGTCTTCCACCACTCCTTTCCCCTCGTACTGTAGTCTTCCACCACTCCTTTCCCCTCATACTGTAGTCTTCCACAACTCCTTTCCCCTCGTACTGTAGTCTTCCACCACTTCCCTCTTTCAAGTTCTCTTACCACCGAGGACCTAAATATTATTGGACAGAGGGAGATATCTAATTTGTCTTTCCTATTCTTGTTTATTTTGTTAATTTCTCTCTGTGGTGTGACTTGATCCATCTCTCTACTCTCTCTCTTTCTCTCTCTCTCTCTCTCTCTCTCTCTCTACTCTCTCTCTTTCTCTCTCTCTCTCTCTCTCTCTCTTTTCTCTCTCTCTCTCTCTCTCTCTCTCTCTCTCTCTCTCTCTCTCTCTCTCTCTCTCTCTCTCTCTCTCTCTCTCTCTCTCTCTCTCTCTCTCTCTCTCTCTCTCTCTCTCTCTCTCTCTCTCTCTCTCTCTCTCTCTCTCTTTCTCTCTCTCTCTCTCTCTCTCTCTCTCTCTCTCTCTCTCTCTCTCTCTCTCTCTCTCTCTCTCTCTCTCTCTCTCTCTATTCTCTCTTTTTCTCTCTCTCTTTCTCTCTCTCTATTCTCTCTCACTCACACTCTCTCTCTTTCTCTCTCTCTATTCTCTCTCTCTCTCTCTCTCTCTCTCTCTCTCTCTCTCTCTCTCTCTCTCTCTCTCTCTCTCTCTCTCTCTCTCTCTCTCTCTCTCTCTCTTCTCTCTCTCTCTCTCTCTCTCTCTCTCTCTCTCTCTCTCTCTCTCTCTCTCTCTCTCTCTCTCTCTCTATTCTCTCTTTTTCTCTCTCTCTTTCTCTCTCTCTATTCTCTCTCACTCTCTATTCTCTCTCACTCACACTCTCTCTCTTTCTCTCTATTCTCTCTCACTCTCTATTCTCTCTCACTCACACTCTCTCTCTTTCTCTACTGTCTCTACTCTCTCTACTCTCTCTCTTTCTCTACTCTCTCTCACTCTCTCTTTCTCTACTCTCACTCTCTACTCTCACTACTCTCTCTCACTCTCTCTCTCTCTCCTACTCTCTCTCTCTCTCTCTCTCTCCTGCGGTTCAATCAACTATCAGCGTAAAAGATACTTTGACCTTTGCGTGCACCTTAAAAATCTTTCACGTGCTTAGAGCGGCGATCAGTACACAGACACCACGTGACTGCTGACGTATTGATGACGTCACATCATACGTCATAGCCTCCGCCCATGTTGCCAACTAGCGGAAAATAACATTAATTCTGTATTGCCTAAATATCACTTTAATAGATATACAACTTTATAGATGAATTGCTAATTGGTATCCAAAGTTGTCGCTGGCGAGCGGAGAGTTTTGTAGCCTAAGGTGATGAGTTAAATGTGTTTGATGTCGGGTAGAGTGTAGTTGTTGGTTCGGTTGATTCACAAGTGTTGCCACCTTGGGTGATGCTGCCGCGCTCTGTCTCCCGTCCTCTCGTGGGTGGAGGGTGGCTGGGTGGAGGGTGGCTAGGTGGCGGGTGGCTGGGTGGAGGGTGGCTGGGTGGAGGGTGGAGGGGTGGCTGGGTGGAGGGTGGCTGGGTGGAGGGTGGCTGGGTGGAGGGGTGGCTGGGTGGAGGGGTGACTGGGTGGAGGGTGGCTGGGTGGAGGGCAGCTGGGTGGAGGGTGTCTGGGTGGAACTGAAGCTGAGGAAGCCACCTCCATCTATACATTTAAGACCATGTTCGGCAAGGAATTCGACCGCCCCAAGAGGCAAATTATAACTCAGTAGGTACAAAAATAACTAGTAGGCTAGGCATAACGAGTTAGACTTCCGTCGCCCTTTCCCGGTGGCCATTGATAGTTAAGTACTCGTAGTTCCTTCCAGTTATGACCATATCTAGCTTCTGCCATTCTTATGTCTTCAAGAACCACACAAAATCCAGGTCAGACAATCCCTACATTACATCTATGTACCGTAGGCGTACCCCGAGTCTCTGTACCACGTAACGGAGTTACTTGAAGGCCAGAATATAGACCATCTTGAGCATCAACTTAAGGACGAGCCTCAAGAGCATTTGAAACACCAACTTGATCAAAAATGTTATTAAGAGCATCTTGAGGATAAACTTGAGGGGAAACTCGTCTTGCTTGTACAGTCAGTGGGACGTGGTTGCCATATCAACAGTCGTAATCGATGGGACTCGGCCATTGGCCGGCTCTTGTGTACCTACGTATACGTCCTCTACAGTAATATTGTGAGGGGGAAGTGGAAAGAAGACGAGAGGGGCTGGGAATCAGGTTTGTAGGGGTGGTTGAGGGATAGTGAGGGAGGGGAGGGAAGATGAGGGAGGGGAGGGAAGGTGAGGGAGGGGAGGGGAGGGAAGATGAGGGAGGGGGAGGGATGGTGAGGGAGGGGAAGGAAGTTGTGTTAATTAAGAAAGAAATGCTAAAAGGCCAAGATATTGCGGCAGGAGTAGACACTGTGAGGAAGGAAGTAGAATGAGATAGAAATATTGTCATCAATTTTTACTTGTTAATGTTAATTATATTCAGATTGGTAAAACACAAATAACACAATATTTTTTTAACAAGGACACTGTCCTTCATATGGAAAAGTCGTGTGTGTGTGTGTGTGTGTGTGTGTGTGTGTGTGTGTGTGTGTGTGTGTGTGTGTGTACTCACCTAGTTGTGCTTGCGGGGATTGAGCTTTGCCTCTTTGGTCCCGCCTCTCAACTGTCAATCAACTGATGTACAGATTCCTGAGCCTACTGGGCTCTATCATATCTACATTTGAAACTGTGTATGGAGTCAGCCTCCACCACATCACTTCCTAGTGCATTCCATTTATTAACTACTCTGACTACTACTTGTACTACTGACTACTGACTAACTACTTAACTACTACTCATTAGTGTGTGTGTGTGCGTGTGTGTGTCAGATAATGTATTTATGGCAACAGAAGTTGAGCTCTCCTCTTTATTCGTCGTATATACTTTAATTTTAGACTCCCTAGTGTGGTGTTCACACACACACACACACACACACACACACACACACACACACACACACACACACACACACACATACATGTGTGCTCCCTGACTACCCATAACCCCCCCCACCCCTCCACCTCCCAGTACCGGGCCAACAGGCCCATTAGTGTCTCGTTCAGTTATATATTGAACTATTCCAGTAACGGCTGTCGGCTATGTAAATCAGAGTGGGGGAGCTGTTACTATTTTAGAAGCGAGTCTATAACGTTAGAACGACGCTTTCCGCTACGAGAGTTGTAATGGAGAGCGCCTGTATCACTTAAGCTAATTACAGCCCCACGCTCGCAACATCAATTTGTTTTATAAGAGATAAGTTTTAAAATGTGTTCGACTGTCCATGAATACGTTATTGCAATTTTAGGGAAAAGATCTGAATGTATTACTTTTCTGAGGCAGACTGTACTCTTATTTTGTGCATTTCCAAGGCGTATATTTTAAAGGGATCCGCGTAAACGACTATATCATTTCAAAACACTTTGCTGAAATATATATATATATATATATATATATATATATATATATATATATATATATATATATATATATATATATATATATATATAATATAATGTGTATAATGTGTGTGTTTTGAAGTCACCACAGGGAAAATGAACCAATCTTTAGAGCTTCAATGATTTAACACAGGAGACTAAATCTGTTGCTGGGGTTGGTAGAAAGCAGTCAGAGGGGTAGTTAACTAGACATTATGAGGGTAGTTATGGGACGATCAGTTGGTACTTAGAGTACGGTCAGGTAACTTGGGTCCGATAAGAACCAAAATGTGTTGAAAGCCGTTCCAGGTCAGATCACTTACCTAACTCACTCGCTCGAATGGTGAACTTCCTGTGAAAATAGAAAAACATGAGTTAGATATTACTGTGGGTGTTGAAGGTTACCTCCAGTGCCACTCCTGACCTGTGCAGGCGCTGCTGAGGTAGACCTCCAACCCTCCCTGACCTGTTCTGAATGTCCCAAGTGTCATCTCACATCCAGATTGACTTGAACTATTGCATCTGAATGGCACATGGTACCCAGCCTGACCTGATGGCCCTAGACCAGGTATTATCTTTTTTTAGGGGCCTTTTACGACCTTTATGAATTTTATTTCACCTATCAGAGCTTTATGGCTTATAATTATGTTTCTGTGGCATGCTGTGTTGAAGGGTTACAACATAAGGGTTTTCTGCTTGAAATCTTAGAGTAAATTAGATCAGCAGTGGCAGTCATCTCAGCAGGAGGGTCAGCAACAGTGACAGTCATCTCAGCTGGAGGGTCAGCAACAGTGACAGTCATCTCAGCTGGAGGGTCAACAACAGTAACAGTCATCTCAGCAGGAGGGTCAACAACAGTAACAGTCATCTCAGGAGGGTCAACAACAGTAACAGTCATCTCAGCAGGAGGGTCAGCAACAGTAACAGTCATCTCAGCAGGAGGGTCAGCAACAGTAACAGTCATCTCAGCAGGAGGGTCAGCAACAGTCATCTCAGCAGGAGGGTCAACAACAGTAACAGTCATCTCAGCAGGAGGGTCAGCAACAGTAACAGTCATCTCAGCAGGAGGGTCAACAACAGTAACAGTCATCTCAGCAGGAGGGTCAGCAACAGTAACAGTCATCTCAGCAGGAGGGTCAGCAACAGTAACAGTCATCTCAGCAGGAGGGTCAACAACAGTAACAGTCATCTCAGGAGGGTCAACAACAGTAACAGTCATCTCAGCAGGAGGGTCAACAACAGCAACAGTCATCTCAGCAGGAGGGTCAACAACAGTAACAGTCATCTCAGCAGGAGGGTCAGCAACAGTAACAGTCATCTCAGCAGGAGGGTCAACAACAGTAACAGTCATCTCAGGAGGGTCAACAACAGTAACAGTCATCTCAGCAGGAGGGTCAACAACAGTAACAGTCATCTCAGGAGGGTCAACAACAGTAACAGTCATCTCAGCAGGAGGGTCAACAACAGTAACAGTCATCTCAGCAGGAGGGTCAGCAACAGTAACAGTCATCTCAGCTGGAGGGTCAACAACAGTAACAGTCATCTCAGCAGGAGGGTCAGCAACAGTAACAGTCATCTCAGCAGGAGGGTCAGCAACAGTAACAGTCATCTCAGCAGTAACGTCAGCAAGCTACTAGTTAACGTGCTGGCCCCTTGTCAAAAATACGAGCCTCCAGCTTCGTTAGCGCCATGCAGGGAAAGAACAAAGATACTGGGAACTACGCAGTGAAGTTGAATACGGAAGAGGAAGAACAGGAGACGAGGGGAGACAGCGACGAGTGTAACAGAGGAGGAGAAATGGGAAACAGAGAGCCATGGAACTTGAGAAAGGTAAGGGACCCGACAGTGAGGGAAAGAAATAATCCCTTCCCCTAGGAGATTATGGGATTTGATAAAGAGAAGGATGTGTGGCATAGAGAAAGGGGGGGAAGAAGCGAGGAAGAGATGAGAAGTGCGCGACAAAGATATCGGATAAAGTGACGGAAATGCACATGAAAGGCAATACAAGAGTCGGAGAGACGATCAAACAAGAATTTGTAGGTAGCAAGTGAAGCGGACATCATTGCATCACTCGACCGACTGTTTGGTAGGCTGAGACCAAGAGCTTAGTTTCGATTCCGCAGACATAAACTGTGTTAACACAATGAGCAGTTGTGACGTCTTGACCCAGCACCAACGGGGGCAGAGGAAGGAGTCCAGTGTAGGTTGCGTGACCTTGGAGGAGTCCAGCGTAGCTTGCGTGACCTTGGAGGAGTCCAGTGTAGGTTGCGTGACCTTGGAGGAGTCCAGCGTAGCTTGCGTGACCTTGGAGGAGTCCAGCGTAGATTGTGTAACCTTGGAGGAGTCCAGCGTAGCTTGCGTGACCTTGGAGGAGTCCAGCGTAGCTTGCGTGACCTTGGAGGAGTCCAGCGTAGATTGCGTGACCTTGGAGGAGTCCAGCGTAGATTGCGTGACCTTGGAGGAGTCCAGCGTAGATTGCGTGACCTGTCTAGTCGATTGTTGATCGCGTGAGCTGGAGTTATCAGTCATCACTGGTGTAATATCCTGATGACACGATGCATTCTCCCTTTATTGCGGGCCGCAATTGCCTGCATATTAAAGCTTGGAGCAGTTCATTCCGTCACGAAGCTCAATCTGACGAGAGAGGAAATTATCTTTATGGGGGATGCCGTCAGTGTTGCGGAATGAAAGGGTGGGAAATGGTAGAGGGGCAGTGCGTTAGTCCACCACAAATATACGTGAACCATCCGCATGTGTGGTGGTGGTGGTGGTGGTGGTTGAGGTGGTGGTTGTGGTGTAATGGTAGTGGTGGAGCAACCGGGCCATATCAGGACAGAATGTTGCCAACAAGGAGCAAGCTTAGGATAAGTCTACCATGATGGAGAGTCTGTGTAATGTGGCCAAGTGCGAAGTTCTCTTACAAAGGACGTCGCTTTTCGCTCGTATGCGTCACATAGGGCCAAAAAAAATCGTCGGACTAGAAAATGGAAGCAGCTGGCGAAAGTGACGTATACTGTCCCGTTTTCTGTTTTGGGTCCTCTGGTAGGTTAAGAGGGGACACTTTAAATGGTCCGTGATCTTGACATTGAGAAACCTTAGGGAGAACAGGCTGGACTCTCCCAACCATAAGACAGTTTATACACAAGATGAGATTGCTATCCTTAAGGCATCACACAAGTTAATCGTTTGACTTTTAATTCTTAAAAAGTATTTTACGTCAAAAACAGATAAACAAGGTCTCTACTGGTACTGTGATTCACGCAGAGCCGACTGTAGTAACCATGGAATAGATCATACGAAGTCATACAGAAAAATACTGACAGTCAAAAGTAGGTCTTGTAATTCTGATTACTAGCTGAAAACTAGTTTAAATACCATAATATACAACAAACTGGGCTATGCTGAATAATTATTTAGTGTCAGGGAAGTGGCAGTGATGGTCTCTTCTGGTAATTATCATGACAATTAGACCAGGTAATCGACTTGAGAATGGTCCAGGACGGACCGAAACGTCGTCGTCCCTTCACCTTCTAGTGTGTGGTCTGGTCATCATACTTTTGCCACGTTATTGTGACTCATCGCCTGCAGGTCACTACTATTTACGATGGGATCTGAAACGGGCCACTTTGAGTACTTACGACGCGGTCTGTATTCATTTACACAATAGTGAGCCAGCTCGTAAGATGTTAAAAGCCAGGTCGTAAGATATTAAAAGCCAGGTCGTAAGATATTAAAAGCCAGGTCGTAAGATATTAAAAGCCAGGTCGTAAGATATTAAAAGCCAGGTCGTAAGATATTAAAAGCCAGGTCGTAAGATATTAAAAGCCAGGTCGTAAGATATTAAAAGCCAGGTCATAAGATATTAAAAGCCAGGTCGTAAGATATTAAAAGCCAGGTCATAAGATATTAAAAGCCAGGTCGTAAGATATTAAAAGCCAGGTCATAAGATATTAAAAGCCAGGTCATAAGATATTAAAAGCCAGGTCGTAAGATATCGTGAGCCAGTTCATATTATAGTCATTATACATTAGGAGCAACGCTATATAAAATACAATATCAGCCACTTTGTCGTAATTACTGTATAACAAACTGGGTCATCTGTCACATCTATAATACATCGAAAGCCGCCCCGTGTTATAATTACAATACAAGCCCGTAATTAGACAGCGTTTCAGGGTAGTCTTGTACAAGGGGTGGAGTGGAAGGTAATTACAATGCAGCAGGTAAGGTGGCAGAATAATGGACTGACATTATACACATGATACCTATAATTCTGCATTCAGGGAGAGCACTGACTCACGTGTTGTGGTGGAGGTCAAAGGACGGACAGATGAAGGGAGATAGACGGAGGGAGTGACGGGGGAATTGGGAGGGGTATAGACAGGAAGGTGAAGGAGAGAGACATGGAGTAGGTAAGCAGGATAACGAGATTTCTTATCAGAGGTGAAGCCAGATCGTCGTGATGAGAAGACACTGTGAAAGGAAGAGGCTTCACGATGCTGCCTTGCGGCTGTTGTTGGAAAAGATATCCAGCCTTCCATGGAAGGAAGGAGGATATCTTTTGGATATATTTTTTGGAGATCTGGGTGGGCAGGGAGCTCTCCCTCCCTGGGTGGGTTCTCTGCCTCGCTTACAGCTTCCGCTCATACAATCACTGTATTATCCATCTTCTTTAAACCGTATTGTATCATTTAAATTTATTTTTGCTTATAAATTTTAATAAGTTGGATTCCAGCTTTTTTTTATTTTAAGAACTGTGAAATGAGGTGCAAATTGGTTTTCTCATTGGTGGGAACGCGAAGCCTATTCAGGTATATTGAGGTAGCTTTTGGCCAGTTACTAAATGTTCTTCATGATGCAACCCACAACAGTTGCCCAACTCCCGGGTACTTGCTTGATGAACAGGGGCATGAGGGGGAAAGGGAAACGTGCCCAAAGTTCCCGCTGTGCGTGGGGGGGGGGGGGGGATCGAACCCGGAACCTTGCAGTGGCGATCTATTGTGTTCTGACATATTCTCTTAACACTTTATTTTTTATCTTTCATGTCTGTTTCTTGCGTGAGATTTGGCTTGTTTATAAAAACCAACAGACATTAAATTACCCCACAATTCTGAGCGAGAGAGTGAAGGTTCAGGACCTGCGTGGAGGGGGGGGGAAGGATAGGGGGGAAAGGGGGGAGGAGTGGCAGGGGGGGAGGGGAGAGAGGTGGGGGAGGAGTAGGGGGGGGGGGCGTTTGTTTACATAACACCCGGGAGGCGAGATCTTACGTCGTCCGAATCCAATGAGAGATGATTTCTTTGTTGACCCGTCACCCACCGAGTTGGAGCTGATGTCAAAGTCAACAGATGGAAC